GTCCTGTGTACCATGTATTCCATAATGGAAGCGTCTGGGCTGCTTCCTGGGCAAGCCTCCCTGGTTGTGCTTTCCCTCCTCCACAAACCTTCTGGAGGGTATCGGCCCATTGGCCTTTTCTCCAGCTCTCACCGCCTCTGGGGGCGGTGCCGCAGGCCCTATGCGGCTCCGGTTTGAAAGCAAGTTTCAGCGCAGCTATTTTGCGGGGGCCCAGTTTTCTTCCGCGGTCGATGTTGTCTGGAGGCAGACTTTGCGAGCTGAAGGAGCTGTGGCCAGCAACCAGGCCAGTTGTACGGTTCTGTGGGACCTCTACAAATGTTTCGAGTTGGTGCACCTGGGCACGCTCCTTCAGCGGTGCCATCGGTATGAGTTCCCCGCCCAGCTAGCTCGGCTTGCTGTGCAAGGATATCGGCATGGCAGGTTCATTTCTCTTGGCGGCGTGGTCGTCGGCCCGTTCCATGTCGCCAACGGCGTTGTCGCCGGCTGTGGGTTTGCAACCACCATGGTGCGCATCAATGCTATTCCCGCACTCGACGCGTTGCAGCTGCCGCCAGGTATTACGCTTGACGCTTACATTGACGATTACGGTCTCAGCTGCAACGGGTCCAATGCCTACATTCACAGGCACCTCCCTGAGGCCACAGCCAACCTCAGGGATGCCATCGAGATTGACATGGGGGCGGTCATTTCTCCTGATAAAGCTTCCCTCGTCGCCTCGTCGGACGCGCTCGCCATGCAAGCCAGGGACTGTCTGGGCGGCCTCGCGGGGCCCATTGCCCAAGGGACCGTCAACTTGGGCATTGCTTCGCCCCGGGCTCCTCCCGACGGCATCCTGGTAGGGGGAGAAAGTTTTCTGACCGCAAGTGGGTTTTCAACAAAAAAGTCAGGAGGCTCAAGCGAGCCAAGCGGCCCCTCGGGCGGCGCGCTGCCAAGGTCTTTCCTGCTGGCCCCCTCCCCAGCCTCACGTTCGGGTCTGAAGTTCATGGGCTCTCGGATTTTGAATGGCACAGATTGCAGGTCGCCGCCGCCAGTACTATGCAGCCATCTGCCAAGATGAGGTCACGGACCTCTGTCCTGATTTTGCCCCAGGACCCGACCTGGCACCCTGCGGTGGCGCCCGTCGTGAGGCACTCCAAGGAGATTTGGGCCAACCAAACCAAGCTCTTTCCCTCTGTTATCCCGTGGGCTGAGCTGAGGGACGCTTGGAGTGGAGTGTTGCGTTCCCCATGGGCCCAAAACCTGGCGCGGGGTCCGTGGGCCATAAGGGGCCACGAAGCTGGCCTTGAAGAGGATCTCTTGGAGCATGCCCAACTACTGCACCCTGTTGGACGATTTTGGAACTGAAGTTTCGCTTACGGTCACGTCCCCAGCTCTATTTAAGAAGCTTTTGAAGGCAGCTGTTCAGATGACTCAGAGGTCAGTTGCTCTGCTCCCGCGCATTCCAGGAGCTCGAGTTTGCCATGATGTTGTTGCTGCTCCGCTCCGCTCCAAGAAGGGCACGCCGTGCCAGCGAGGTTGTGCCAAGGTTGTAGCTTGTAATGCCACGTGGACTAGAACCAGAGCCGCTGAAGCAGGGTCCGCTGTCAGCACGGTCTGCGAGCTTTGTGGGGGTGCGCCAGGTACCATGCTCCATCGGCTTTGGTTCTGCCCAGCGTGCCATGACAAGAGGGAGTCTGTGTTTGACAGTTTCGAGCCAAAGTTTTCCCTCCTGCCCCCGCCCGACCTCTCGCCCGAGAACAACGGAGAATACCACTTGCCGTTTACGCGTGGCCTGTTTCGGCACCCAGGGGATGTGTTTTCCTTTTCCTGATCGTGATGATGTTGAAGATACTGGCCTCGAGATTATCTGGGCCAACGACGGTTCCTCCAAATTGCTTAGTTTATCTGGGCACATCTTCGTGGACGGGTCCTGCGTTGCGCACCCTGTTAAAGAACTCTCCAGGGCTGGGTGGGGGATTGTGATGGTTAGCGACGATGGAGACGAGATCTGTCGCATTAGTTGTCCCCTTTGGGCCCCCGACCTCCAGACTGCCCAAGGGGGAGAGTTTGGGGCCTACGCTGTTGCTGCAATGCATGCCCAGCCAGGTAGTTCCATTTACTCCGATTGAAAGAATGTGGTCGTACAAGCCAATGGGCCGCTGCTCAAGGTGCTGTCCTACCAACGCGTGTATTATGGCTTTTTGCCCCCCACCCGCCGCAAGCTTTTAGAAGGGGTGTTTGAGGTCAAGGCGCATGTTGAAGATTCCTGTGACCTCACCGAGTTGGAGCGGTTTTGGAAGCAAGGCAACGACCTTGCGGATCTGGTTGCCAAGAGCACGCTTGCCCGCCGCCCGCAACCCGACCCCGAGGATGTGGTTTGGCTCGAGAGATGCCTCTCGGTCGCCCAGTGTGTCATGCGTCTTTCAACCGAGCTGATGCCACAGTGGCCTCGGCTAAACTTGACAGGGGCCCGCCTGCGCCCAAGCCCCTGCGGCCTAAGATAGAGCCGATGTCCCACCAGTGGACTCGGGTGTCTTCGTTTTGGCAGCGCATTGAATGCCTCAAGGTTGCAAAGGGCGCACCGCGGACGAACCCTGGCGGGTCTCGGCCTGGAGGTCTCGACCCGCCTGCCCCAGGCACGTGCCTTAGAGATTCCAAGCTGACGTCTGCGGTGCTTTCAGCGCTCAGGCACAACAGTATCGCTCTGCTATGCTCCGATGGCGCTGCCCTCGCTATTTGCATGCGATGCTATGCCTATTCTCCCCGCGGGCAGCCTCGCACCTTGCTTAGACAATGTGGCGGCCAGCCACAGAGTGCAGGCGCCAAGTCTGCATGGAGCTCTGTGGGGGCTGGGCGCCACCCCAAGCGCAAAGGCGTTTCAGTCGATGTTGGCCCCTGGTATGAAGATTTGAGCAGGAGGAGCGGCCACGGCGTCCCACCGACCAAGAAAGGGAGCTGCGGACAGCCCAGCTGGCGCGGAGGCTGGTCACCGCTGCAGGTGGGGCATCAGCCCCAGCTGGCGTGGAGCTGGAGGTGGCTCCTCCTCCGTCGGTACCGCCACAGGGGCAGCAGCGCGATCGAGTCGTTGACCCTTCGTCCGTGTCGTTGTGCACCGTCGAAACTGCTGCCCCATCAGCTTTCCCTCTTGGGCCGCGGGACGCGGAAGAGGAAGCAGTCTTTTCGGGGTTTGGCTTGCCTGGTGAGAGTCCCTCCCAGCAGGCCGTGCAGCAGGTGCCCGAGCCAGCCTCCTCGGTTGAAGTTTTCGGCCGAGACCGAGTTGCCTCCGTCCTTCAAGAGGAAGTGGCCTCGCTCGTCGCCGTCGCTGCACCACAGTCTGACGACTCAGATTAGGAGATGCAGCATGCGTCCTCCGCGAGTGGTGCGTCTCGCCCTGACCTCATTCTCTTCTGGTCGAGGGCTTATGGGGGGCAGGCGGTGAGCCACAGGGCATCCTCCCTTCTTGCGGGAAATCGCCCCGTGGCTTTCGTGCCTGCCCTCCTCTCTTCGTTTCGCTGCTCGCTGGTTTGCTTCAGGCCAGATAGCAGGGGGCGACGCCCGCTGGTCGTCGCCCTTGGTTGCCACGGTTGATGTCAAAAAATCCTCCTCCTCCTCCTCCTCCTCCTCCCCCCCTCCCCCTCCCCCTCCTCCTCCCCTCCCCCTCCCCCTCCCCCCTCCCCCTCCTCCTCCTCTCCTCCTCTCCTCTCCCTCCTCCTCCTCCTCCTCCTCCTCCTCCTCCTCCTCCTCCACCTCCTCCTCCTCCTCCTCCTCCTCCCCCCTGCTGTGTTCCCGGGAGGGGGGGCGCGGACGTTCGGGCCTTGCAGAGGCGCGGGCGTTCGGCCGCGGCTCGGCCCCCAGGCGTTTGGCGCAGGCGCGCGCGGCGGCGGGCCGCGCCCCCGCGCCCGCCCGTGGCGCGCCGCCGGGCGCGCCCGCGCCCCCGCCTCGCCCGTGGCGCGCCCGCCCGTCCCTCGTCCGAGAGGGCCTCGCCCGTGGCGCGCCGCCGCTTGTCGCCACGGGCGGCCCTCCCCGTCCAGCGCTCCGCCGGGGGCGCGGAGCGCAGGCGCGCCCGCCGCGCGTCGTCGCGGCCTCTCGGGACGCGGGCGGGCGGTCCTCCACGGCGCGCTGCGGGGGGCGCGGGGCGCAGGCGCGGCCGCCGCGCGTCGTCGCGCGTCGTCGCGCGCGGGCGGGCGGCCCGCTGCTCCCGCAGGGCGCGGCGCGAAGCGGCGCGGGCGGGCGGCCAGCGGTGTGCCGCTGGCACGGCAGGAGCAGCCGCAACTTCTCGGGGCGCGGGCTCGGGCTCGGCCTGGGGCCCGGGCCCCAGGCCCTGGGCCTCATGCTCGGGCTGCGGGCATTTGCCGGAGCCCGAGCCCCAGCCGAGCCCGAGCCCGTGGCGCGGCGCCCTCACGCGCTTCACGCCCTCAGGGGCCAAGCCTCCCTCGGGGTGTGTTCGCTTTGAGTGCCTCCGTGGCGGCGCTAGGCTTGCGGAGAGGGGGCTCGTGCCCTCGACCCGCGCTCTTGCGTCGATGATCCCAGACCTCCAGCGTCTTGGTCCTCGCAGCGCGGGGTCCCCGCTTCCCCTGGACCACTTTTCGTGGGCCAGTTCGACGCCCCAGGCAATATGTCGCGGTCAACGTGTCCCAGGAGCCAGAGACGGTTCCATGGGGGCCGAACACGGCGAAACAACCTGCATTTGTCGCTCGTTTTGGATCTCCACGTCGCCGCGCTCCGTGAGCTCCCTCGAGGGCGCTTCCGCACCCTCTCGCCCTGGGTCTTCCGAGTGCGCACGCTCGTGCTCTGGGCCCGAGCTCCTCCTCCTCCTCCTCCTCCTCCTCCTCCTCCTCCTCCTCCTCCTCCCCCTCCTCCTCCTCCTTCTCCCCCTCCTCCTCCCCCCTCCCTCCTCCTCCTCCTCCTCCTCCTCCTCCTCCTCCTCCTCCTCCTCCTCCTCCTCGTCCTCCTCCTCCTCCCTCGCGTGGCCCGTGCCTCGACTGCGGGGCCCCGCGCCTGGCCGCCCGCGCGCGCGCGAGGCGGGCGCCGCCTCGGCGGGCGACCACCGCCTGAACTGGCCCGCGGCGAGGCCCGCGCCCCGCGGGTCACGGCGGCGGCGGCGGCGTGGGCGACGGCGGCGGCGGCGTGGGCGACGGCGGCGGCGGCGGCGGCGGCGTCAGCGACGACAGCGGCGTCGGCGACGGCGGCGGCGGCGGCAGCGACGTCGGTGGCAGCGGCGGCGGCGAGTGCGACCTGCGGCGGCGAAGAAAGCGGAGACGGATGCGGGGCCCGTTTTTTTCTCATCTGCTACGTGAGGGGTGGCGGTTGTTCTTGCTGTTTTGCTCCGTCTGCAGCGGACGATGACGCGACATGTTTGATGAAGACACGATATGTGATCAACGACATCTACAGCGAACCCCCGCCGCCCGATGTGTTTTAGGAACGTTTGGGCAACATTTGGTCACGCTATTGGACCATGCGGTCCCCCAACCAGTGTGGAAGCGCTTGGGGGAACACGTGGGGGAGGAAGAGGAGAAACACGGAGGATGAGGAGAAGGATAAGGAGACCTCTTGGAAGTTTCTTGGGTCATTATTGAAGCCTCATGGGAGCCAACCTTGAATCTTGGAGCCACCTTGGGGGCCTCCTTGAGCCTCTTGGGGGCCTTCGGGGGTTTCTTGGGGGCCTCTTTGGTCGTCTCACGCGTTCCTGGCCTGTCTGACGCCGTCGAAAGCCGTCTTGGGGTCCCTTCTGAGCCTTCTCGGGGCGCTCCGGGGTCGTTTTGAATGCCACCTTGAACGTCTTGGAGGCCTCTTGGGCCGTCTTTGGGCCCCTTGGGGGTCGTCTTGGGAGCCTCCTGAGACCTCTTGGGCGCTCCGGGGTCGATCTTGGAGGCCTCTTGGTCTTGGAGGCCAACTTGGACCATCTTGGGCGAACCTGGAGGCCATCTTGGAACACCTTGGCCGTCTTAGAGGCCGTCTAGGCCGTCTTGGAGACGTATTCGGTGCAGCTCATCGGCGTTCCTGGTGGCCGGCGCGCTGTGCCGAAGCCCCAGGGGGAGTTTCAACAAGAAATTTTCTGAAGTTCAGCACGTCAGGCACCCCCGTGACAAGCACAGAGGGTGGCAGACACAGTTGCCTTCGACCCCGCCATCGTTGCTTGGCTTTGGGCTTGTTGGCCGCAGGCCTTTTGCATATCTCATGGTGCCTATTTGGGTTACTCTCGCGGGCCGTTGGAGACCTCGGGACCTCATGCCTCTTGGGCGCTTCCGTGAATCAGTGAATGCTTGAATGCAATTTGGATGTCGAAACACATTGGCAATGAAGAACATCTGCATTACCGTACTTCTAGTTCCTCGGGATCTGCGAGGCAGCGGACATGGATATCGTCGGGTCCTGTGGGACTCCCAGGTAATTGCCCATATCCACTGGCCCCTGCAGGACCATGAGACGTCGGTGCCCGAAGCGGTCGAAACGTACAAATCCCGGCTTGGAACCCGAGCCTCTTGGATCGAGTCCCGCCCTTGTGGCTTCAAGCAGGCCCAGGACGAAGAACAATCGTTCCAGCGCCTTCAGGAACGCTCCAGAACGGTCGCGGCGCCCGATAGCAACTTCAAGTCTGCCGGTTCGCCGCCGAGCTTGATTTTTGGGTCATATCTCGGGTCTACGGTGGTCGTTCGGGACATTCCGGGAACCCCTAGAACGCCCTCGGCGAGGCGCAGTTGCTGGCGAGCATCCCGAGGCTGGAAAACCGCGGATAACCTACGAAAACATGCGAAATACCTCGAACTTGGAGCCCGAAACTTCTGCCCGTCCCGGCGTCGTCCTGCTCCTGCTTTCGCCCTTGCGGAAGGGGGGAACTGGCTGCCATGATTTGCAGTGGCTGCGGCATTCGGGGGCAACGATAGGGGGGGGGATCGGCATAGGGGAGGATGCATCGTCCCCCAATCGCTCATTGATCGCCGATGGGGGCCCGATAGCCCCAACCCGCCCAGGAAGGTGCGGATCCACTGTCGGAGGCCTATCGCCGATCTGTCGGCGATGCACAGCCGATTCCAGGTCGACGTTTTCCCCGCTGTCCCTATCCCCCCTCCTCCTCCTCCTCCTCCTCCTCCTCCTCCTCCTCCTCCTCCTCCTCCTCCTCCTCCTCAGGCATGCACTCGTCGGACCTCCGCTCCCGCGGGGCGCCTCCCGGGACGGGCCTCGCCTTCGGCGCCGTGTCCTCGCCGCGGCGGGGACGCCCGCGGGAGCAGCACGCGGTGGGCGGGGTCTGCCGGCGGAAGGCCGGCGGATCGGGGGGCCCCAAACGGGGTGGTGGCCACACCGTGCGGTGAGTCGGTGCCACGGGGTCACCGCACGGTTTTGGGACTCGAGTCCCTCTCCGAGGACGTCTCGGGCGGCAGGGGCTTCCGGGGTCCCAAGACCGTGCGGTGACGGACCGTGCGGTGAGCTCTTGGGGGATTTCGAGGTCACCGCACGGTCCGTCACCGCACCTTGTCGGGACTCCCAAGCGGAGGGCGGCGGGAATGCGGTGGGGCTGAGGCAGATCTCAAGCAGTGGCGAAGCGTCCTGGCTCGCCTGCAGGACCACCAAATAATGTTCTAAGAACCCTCAGTGGTCTGCACGACATGTCTTTAGAACATTTCTGGTTGAGTCTGTCTTGTTCTAACATTTCTGAATTATAATATAAGAGCATTGTTTTTGTTCTTAAAGCATTTGTGGGGTTCTAAGAACATCTCGTGGCAGGCCTATATAAATGCCGGGACGGTCGGTCCCTACTCGAAGATCGAATAACCAAACACATCACATGAGACCCAAAGTGGCCTTTGGTTCCCAAAGGACCATGGGCCCGTTGTTACTCATCGGCCTTGGGCGGTCGTCGGCGGCATTCTAAGGGTCTTGGCGGCCTTCGGTTGTGTTCGGCGCTGAGCTGGCCAGTTGCGCTCAACAGAGAAGGTCACGCCTCTCAGATAGAACGCCCTCAGGTCAGGTCAAGCCTCTCACCAGGCCGCGCGTGAGCAGAGGCACAGACGAGCGACTCCAGAAACCATGGATCCAGAAATGTTGACGCCTCACTCTTACAGTCGGACCTAGGGCAGAAGAACATCCTTCGAGAACATGAGACCCTCCGCTGGCCAAAACACACAGAGCATCCAAGGATACCGTTCCTTGGGATGCGCAAGAGCATTCAACACGCCAGGGACATCACGGCACCCTTCAACGAGCCGACCTCGATCTTATACAAGAGGAACGCACAAAGCCATAAACATAGACATAACCATACAAGGAACGCACAAAACCATAACCTGGACCCACCTGGCGGCGCCTCCGGCGCTGCCGCTGGCGCGTTCCGCGCGCCAGGGAAGGAGGTCCAGCTCAAATCGAAGAAAGCTGCGCTGAGCGCAAAAAGTGTATGTTGATGTATTTGTTGCTCCTCTAGTGTAAGATCGAGGGCGGTTCGGGGAGGGTACCCAGATGTTCTTGGAATGTGTTGGATGTTCTTGTGCATCCCTGGGGACGGTATCCTTGCATGTTCTGTGTGTGTGTGTGTTTTAGCAAGCGGAGGGTCTCATGTTCTTGAAGGATGTTCTTCTGCCCTAGGTCCGCCGACGACCTCCCAAGGCCGATGAGTAACAATGGGTCCATGCTGGAATACCGCCAAGGCGCCGAAATCAGGACCGCTTCGGGCTCAGGAGGGTCTCTGGTTTCCTTGCCGTTCATTCGTGGCCGAGGCTCGCCGTGGCCAGAGGAGTCCCTTCGTTCCCCATCCTGCGGTTCCTTGTGATGCGCACGAGACCTGCACGCAACGACCTGCTCTGCAGTCAACCCGCACAGTGAGGACGGGCAAGCTGCCCAAGGGTACCCTCGCATCCTTGCCTCCTCGGTCCATCCTTGGCGGCCACTTTCGTTGGCCGCGCCCCGACCGAGAAGCTTCGAAGTGGGCGTCCAAGGCCCTGCCATCCGTATCGCGCATCCTTGTGATACGGGCCGATTGTGGCCCGCCTGCGCCCTCTTGGTCGCCAGGTCGCCTTTCGAGGAGGACGACGCCGGGCGGCAGTCCGTGATGATGCGCAGGAAGTCCTCGCAGCCGGCGCGGTCCGCGGCTCGGCGGAGTCCCGCGTGGGGCCACGGTCTCCATCAAGGAACAGTCTGGATGTTGCGATAGGTCGAAGAAAAAGTGGCGCCATAAACACAAACGTTTGGCGCTCCGCGCGGATTTCTTGGATCCGCGCTGGGCCCCCCCTGGCGGAGCCTCCAGCGCCCCTGGCGCGCTCCACGCGCCAGCGAGGGGGCTCTAGCCCAGATCCAAGCAATCTGCGCGGATTTCCAAACGTTTCTGTTCATACCATTTTTGTTTCTTTTCTAATATGGACCAGCTTTGGTTCCGGAGGTCAGAGGCGAGCAACCTACGTACACATGTTTGCGGTCAATTTTCGTTGACGTGCGTCGGAGCGCGGTGTTTGTGCACGCGGGGCCGCGGAGGACGTGCATGCTTTCATATGTCTCCGTTCGCTCATGAGGGCCTCGGATTGTTGGCCGTTCTACGGACTTGCATGTCCGCAGCTGAGGCTCGCAGTGGCTAGGACAGCCCAGCGCCCCCATCGTAGCACGATGGCTGTATTCTCGACGCTTCGCTTCACTCGGATCGATGCCTGGACTTCGTCACGGCCTGACCTGGTCACTCGGCTTCGGCCCCCTGGACTGCATCGGTCCCCGCTCGGCCACTGGCTTGGCATCCTCGCCCTTGGGGACTTGGCTCCCAGTCGCCGCCAATACCGGGCACGATGTTTCCGCTTGGGCGGGACGCACCGTGCCTCACGGCCCTGGCCGTTTCTGCATTGTTCTCACTGTGGTCTTTGCCCGAACCCCGCCAAGGCCTGGCATGGTTTATCCGGCTCTGGCCCTTTCGTGACGTCTACGGCTCACGCGTCTTGACCAGTTCCCGTTCCCGCGCGTTCACACCGGGCCTTGGTCTCCAGGCGCCAGTCGGCTCGACCGTGCTTGGTCCCTCTGGCCTCTGCCCTGACCCTGCCATGGCCTGGCGTGGTCTCCCTGGCACTGGCCCTCGCGTGGCGCCCTCGGTTCACGCGCCTTGACCAGCTCCGGCGCTTGTGCTTGCACTCCTCCGGACCCTGGTCCCCAGACACCGTCGGTTCGGCCACGTCTGGCTCTTTCTCCGGCGCTGGCGCTGTGGCTCGTCCCTATCTGCAGTGGTGGGGGCGCCCGTCACCTGGCCGTGCACCTTGTCCGCCCCGTGGTTTCGAGTGCTCTGGCAGTCAGGCCCGCACGTTCTGACAAGCTCTGGCTGTGCATGCACTGCCCTGGCTTGGTCCGCCTCTGGCCCCTGGGACGCTGGTTTTCGCAGGAGTGGTTCAGCCTTCTTGTTCAGCCTGGCAGTCCCCTGGCGGTCTGTTTCTCGTGCCTCTGGCGCCCAGTGGCGACAAGGCTTAATTCCCCTGCCTGGTGATCTCGCTCCCATGGTACTCGCACGCTGCATCTCCCCAGCCGCCTCCGCAGCTGGCAGCTTCCACCCCCCGGCGCAGCTCTGCCTCGGCGCAGCTCCCCCAGCTGTGGTTTGCTAGCTAGCTCGGCGCGCGCGCCTGCAATTAGGGCGCCCGCGGCCCGTGCGACTCTAATGACGCCGTTGGCGCGCTCGCCTGCAGCTGCGTTAAAAAGAAGTATCCCGTCCAGCCCATCCAGAAATGATCGGAGGCCTCCTTGAGGCCTCTTGGAGGCTATCTTGAGCCATGTTTGGCTAGCGGCCGTCAGAGGCTATCTTTATCCATGCCCAGACATCCTGGGCCGTCGTGAGGATGTCTCGCGGTCTCTTGGAGGTCGGTCGGAGGCTATCTTGATCCATGCTCGACCTCCTGGGACCATCGTGGGGGTAGGAGGAAGAGGAGGAAGAGGAGGAGGGACGATGAGACGTCGCGTGTTGGATATATGTTGTTATGCGAGGTTGTTGAAGGACGGCAGAGGCAATCTTAGGGGCTCTCGTGGGGTCCTGGTGGGGCCTCTTGGGGCACTCTTAGGGCCCTCGTGGAGCTCGTTTTCAGGGTCTTGGGGCTTTCTTGGGGCTCATGTGAGGGGTCTGGAAGGCCTCTTGGCCCCCATGGTTCAAACAGAGGGGTGATATTCAGAATGACGTCTGAGGGCCTCTTGGGCCGCTCTTGGACGCTTTCAGGGCCCTCTTGGGGCCCTTGTTGGCCCTTCTTGGTCCTCTCCTGGGCCGTTTTGGGGCCACCTTGAGGCTTCAAAAACCCATCGGAAGCGACACAGCGAGAAGGCACACCTCATTGATATCCTGTAGGTTTCTGGGCCACCTCGGCCTCTTGGGACCGATCCTCGGAGTGCCCTGCAGGCACTGAAAACCATATTGCGGCCTTCTTGAGGCCTTTTGGATGTGTGTGGGAGGCGATATGTAGCCATCTTGATGTGTCTTGACCCATCGTAGAGCCAATCTTGGACTCGCGGAGGCCCTCCTGGAGCCAATTTAGACAAAAAACACACCCTCTGACACATCGCCCCCGCCCCACCCCAGGCCCAGGGGAAAGGGGAGGGGGAGGGGTCAAAACATCCTGCAGATGGTACGCCGTCTGGCTAACTCCCACCCGCCCTCCCAACACATAAGTAACACCCGAACCTGAGCATGTTCAGCGGTCGTCTTTGGATGGGCAGCTACTGGGGACCAAAACGGGCCCTACGAGCGCGACGCGGCGGCGAGGTGCGCCACGCGTGCCAGGCGCGCCACGTGCGCCAGGCACCCCTGGGGCCCGAGCGTGCCAGGCATGCCTGGTGCGCCAGGTGCGCCACGTGCTCCGCGTTCGCCAGGTGTTCCGCACACTCCAGCCGCGCCAGGTGCGCCACGTTCGGGGCACGTGCAGAGTGTGTCAGGTGCGCTTGCGCACGTGACAGCACACATCGGGAAACATGTCGGCCCCCACAATCCTGGTCGAGAGCCAGTGCCCAGCATTGTGTCTGGTGGGCCTGCGCACAGCAGGCCACACGCCACCACCCCCGCCCCCGCCCGTCCTTGACAAAAACCACTTGACAGTGATCGCGGGGTGGCCGCGCATGATCCAGATTTCGCTGCGAGGTGCATTTTGTATGTTTTTTGTTTGGGATACTAGCCCTGCGCACAGCAGGCAACTTGCTGACACCCCCGCCGTCCCTGTCAAAAGCAATGCACTGTGCTCGCGGACCTCACGAACATGATTCAACACTTTGCCCCAAAGTGTATGTTGTATTGTTTTTGATCGGGGTGGTGGGGGCGGGCCAGATCGGGCTGGCCGCGCATGTTCCAAATGTGGAGGCAGAATGCGTTTTGCATTGTTCTGTGACAGGGATGGCGGGGGCGGTGAGCATGGTGTCCTCATGGTTCGTGGTTGGCTGCCGGCCGCCGGGGGAGGGGGTGTATATTATTAGGGGGCAGGAGACAGAGCCCCCCCCAAGACCGCAAGCCGTCTCGCTCCCTCCCACCCACATCGCCGAGGAACGCCACGCCCGCCATGTGCGCCACGGGTTCGGGTGCACCAGGCACCTTGGAGACCCAAACGTTCGAGGCACGGCAAGTGCGGCACGTGCCCCGCGAGCGCCCAAACCGCAACGTACTCCAGCCGCGCCAGGTGCGCCACGTGCTCGGCGCGCGCAGTGCGTGCGAGGTGCGCCACTGCACAGCTGTCGCCAGATGGATTATGTAGTGTTTTTTTTTATAGGGATGTTTGGCCTGCGCGCATCAAGCAATATGCCGGCACCCCCGCCATCCTTGTCAGAAACCAAAGCAGAGTGGTCGTGGGGCGCCCGCCGAGTGGTCGCGGACCTGGAGGCAAGCTGCATTCTGTCTTGTGTTTGTTATGGCAGGGACGGCCGGCTTGCGCGCAGCGTGTGCGCAGCAAGCAGCATGCTGGCACCCCCGCTGTCCCTGTCAAGAACCAAGGCAGAGTGGTCGCGGGGCGCGCGCGCATGCTCGAGATTTGGAGGCAGAGTGCATTCTGTATTGTTTTTGGACGGGGATGGTGGGGGGGCGCATGTCCACAGTCGGGTGGGGGAGGGGGTGTTTATGAATAGGGAGCAGTGACAGACCCCTCCCCAGAGCAGGGGAAGAAGGGATCCTGGCAGAGAGAAGACACAAGTTCGTTAAACCACCTAGGCCCTGAGGGCTGGTGATTTTAAAAAGGCCAAGCAGCAGTTGCCACAGCCTTGTGTTTTTTTGTTCGGGCCCTTCAAAAGACGACTCGGGATGGAAACGCCGGCCCTGGCGAAGGGGTCGGGACTTCTTGGGACCCCGCATTGAACAAATCTGGACATCGGGATCTTTGGCGAAGCCTGCCCCTGCGGTTCTAGTCGACGCTGCTTTATCGGTCACCCTTGTAGCGGTTCATATGCTTCGAAGTTTGAGCCCTTGATGGTGTTTCGAAAGTCCAATCTCCAGGGGTATCTGCGGTTGCCTAATTGCCTATGGGCGAGTCGGGGGCCACGGGAGCCCGCTGGCCTCAAGCCGACATTCTGAGGACGCCCTCGCCCCTCCGAGCCCCAGCCCACCACACCTGGCCCCGAGCTCCTTCCTGCGTTCCCCGTGCCTTTCTGTTCCTTGGATCTTTGTTAAAGGGCAGGCGTTCAGGGGACAAGGAGGAAAAGGACAAGCAGGACGAGGACCAGATCGAGGGCCCCGGAAGGGGAGGTGACCTCTTGGACTTTGTACCCATCCTTTCCGTGCCCAGCCTGCTCGGGCCCAGCGTCGAGGAGAGCGCGAGTTCGCACGAGCCGACAAGTCGGGTATGGGAGGCTCCCGGGGAGGCGTCGCCGAGATGTCCCATGGGGATGCTTACGAGGAACATCCTCGAGGCCTCGCGCGGCGCGGAATAGCTGTACTATCTACTCCGCGCATCGGCTCCGTGAGCCATGGGTCGACACGCTCGCGCGGCGACGCTCCGGCGCAAGTCCGACGCACCTCCGACGCACCTCCGACGAAGTCCGACGTGAGCCCGACGTAAATTCTGCGTGGATCCGACGTGGGGAAAAAACACAAAACAAACACACACACACACATACACACACAAAACAAACACACACACACACAAAAAAAACACGCACTGTAGA